CCCCAAAACCCCAAAACCCCTTGTGAAAAATTTGGATTATTTATTTATGAAATTAAAATTATTTTTATCATTTCAAGAAATTCTCAATAATTTATTCTAATTAATGATTTTGAACTGTGATGCTATAAATCTAAATTTATCAACTGCATCAACTATCATTTAATGTCTTTTAGAAGTCTTTTGCATTAATGTACCATTTCCCATATGCTCTTTGCTTCTTCAAGTTATTGATGATCTTATCATTTATTTTGTGATCACTCTTACTTTTTTCTATTAGTTTCAAGTAATGATCTAGATTTTTCTTTTTAAAGTCAATACTCGGTCCTGCTTAATTATAGTTCGATTTTTCAAGTTTCTAGAGTTCTTTATCTCTAAAGCTTTGCTAAGATTATAGATATTTTTCGGCCTATTGTCTCTACACGCTTCTCTCTGAAAGATATTACTTCATTTCCTCTTTTAATTATGGTAGTCGAGATTCGACAGCAACTTGAGATAATTTTTTGTGAAGTAATGATTCATGGTTATTCCAAAAATTGTGATAAATTGTGTTATTTGAGATATTTGAAGTCTCATTCAATATGCTTTCGAGTTATTATATCATGTCGAAATCCTCTGTAGTTTTGTTCTTTCTAGCTGAATTATCTTTAATTAATCTATTTTTTATTTCGTTAAAGCCATGCAGATCTACTTTGAGCTACTCAATGTTTTGTTTGTCTAATGGTATTTCTTTTATTGCCTAAGGTAGTTGATCACTGAGGTAGTTCTGTTGGTTTTGATGCATATCAAACATTAGAAACTCACTGTTTAATAAACTTTCATTAAATTCATAGGCATCAATGTAGTCATTTTCAAGTAAATGAAATCTCTAGCCAATTTTTTGCTTCATTTTGTTCTATGACATCATTCTTTAGAAATTTTGATTTTTCATCAGATTTCTAATTATGTCAGGTCTTGCTCTTCTCATTGAGGATTAATCTTCTCTCATAGATGACTAGTCATCTGTCACTGTCTTTGATGTGTTTTCTTCTTCCTCCTTAATCTTTGTATGTTGCTTATCTAAAAATTGATAAGAATTGCTTTTTTCAGCAAAGTTTAGCTGTGGCTAAATGAAAGTCGATGCTTTTCTTATTTAAATCTTGATATTTGTATTATTTGAAAATATTTCTTCCTCACTATTATTATTATTATTTTACAAGCCCACATGATTAGACTTATTGCTGATCATTGTTGAAACTCTCTCTCGTTGCTGATTAAAAAAGTTATTATCCATATCATCTATCATTTTACCCTAGATTTATTTTTGTTAATACAAGGGCTTCCTCTCATACATGCTGTTTTTCTTCTGAAATAGATTAAATTTATCTCTTAGAATACTTTTGATCTAACCAATTTCATTGAACTAAAAATAATTTGATATTGTGTCTGTCACTTGTTGGTATCCTTCTTAGTCTTTATTCAAGGTATTGCTTATCGTTGTTTTTAATTTTTTTAAATGTCTCTGCTTAATTTCTTTCTCACTTGGTAATTTTTGCCGACTAGTATTAGCCCCTGAAGGAGATTATATCTATGAGCCTATTATTTTCTCAGCTTTATTGTTAGGTGAAAGACTCTACTCTGGCTGCGGCTTTTATAAACTTTAATCGAATTGTTACTAGCTCTTTTATTTAGGTATTGGAGATGTAGCTTATTTACTTCTTGGACTTGAACTTAATTCTTATGACGCTATAATTTCATCTTCTTCTTCAGGCTATGCTGCTTAGACAGGTCTTATTTCAAATCTTTATGAGTTCAATTAGTTTTGGTTACTCTGCGAGCTATTATCTTTTTGAAGACTTTCATTTGAAGGCATAATACCATATTCGACATTCTAAACATTCATCATTTCCTTCCTAAATTTCAGGTAAGATTCCCTAGAAAAAGGATTTTTAAAGCTTTGTATTTTTCTTTTTTAGTCATTGGCATCAAAAGGGTTATTCTCCATTTTCAGTAAAGAATTCTTTCGAACCTCATTATTTGGAGAATTTTCTTTTACTTTTTATTCTCCTGGTGAGTCTCTTAAAATATTAGGAACTTGAATCTTTTAAAAACTATCTTTACTAGCTGCAGTAAAGTTACTAGTAGTGTCTTCTTAGGCTTGGTAGTTTTAGAAATAACTCTCAGATTGTTTATTTACACTTGAATTAGTTCTCCCTCCTAGTATTGGATCTGCTCCACCTCCAGCCTTTGCCAGTCTTGAAACTTTATCTATCGATCTAAGTGCTTTATTTTGGAGATGAGAATTCGCTAACAAATTTTGATAGTTAAATTAAGCCATCTGATTATCATTTGCGGGATTTGTGTTAGAATCATGAGGAAATATTTGTTTTTGTACTTTACTTTAGATTTAATTAAGAAACTACTAAATACCTTTCTTAAAATCGATTGAGCTATAAGTATCCATCTTATTAACTTATTCTTCAATGCTGTTTAAATGCTTTTCTCTTTAGGATTTTTCCTCATTTAAAAATTGTCGTAAAGATGAATTGCATTTATTTTGAATTTTGATATCATAATAAGTTTAAGAAGCATTTTCGTTTCAAACTGAGGAGGTAGATTTTAAGTTTCGATTCTAAATTATTTCACTACCTTATGGTTGAATTCGAATTTAATTTCTACTTTTATTGACAAAGGTGTTTTTGTTTTCATTATAGAGAGAGTTTCAAGAGTTAGAATTTTCATATGTTCTTATTTAAGATTTGGACCTGATAGTCTCAAAATATTTGCTGTTTCTCTTCATTTTTGCGTACTTACTATCCATATTCTTTTCTCTTATTAAAAAGCTTTTATTTTAGTTTTCTCTTAATGTATTATATGGATTAGTTTCATCAAGTGTAGTAGATAACATTACACTCTAGATATAGTTTGCGTTTCATTACTTTGCTAGTATAATTTCATCATCATAATTGCTCACTGGTTAAGTTTACTTTAAAAGAGGAAATTCTTAGAAGTAGCCATAATGCTCTCTGTCATTATTCCTTACTATGTAATTCATTCCAGCCAAGCCTTTATTTAAATAATTTTGCCTTGAAAGAAGCCTGGGCTACTTGATAATGTCATATTCATTATCAAGAGTAACTGAAATCTATTTGCTATAAGTCTTCATTTAAATATATTTTATTATATAATCTGCTTCAGTTAATCATTAGTATTAAATAATTTCATAAGATAAACTTTTTTTTACTATCAAATTTGCAGATAAATTCTATCAAGCGGGGTTTTGGGGTTTTGGGGTTTTGGGG